GGGATTGATCTTTTGTTATCGCTACACTCCATCTTGATAAGTGAAGTAACCACATTCACACTCCCTCTTCCCTACAGAAAAGGTAACTTCTACTCAGTTCCTCAGGTGTATTAGTGGTTAGTAAAAACACACAAATTTAAAATTTCAGATGCGAATGATGACTCTAGTTAATCAACTAGGAAAAGTTAGTGAAATTTCTTACCAAGTACACTGCATTTCTAGAAAATGGTCACTGTTCAAGCGCTTGAACTCGTAACTTTTTCTCTCAGAAATATATAAATTTATGTCGGTAGTCAGCTTTTCACAGGGTATAAATCCAGGTATCCATCAATGCAGCAAAAAGCTTAATTACCCATATTCATAATGAATTTTTTTGTGATGGTTTAATTATTTTTCAGTACTTAAGTTTTTTCTTTATTTTCAGTTTCAATCGCTTAGACCTTCCACCCTATAAGAATTATGAGCAGTTGAAGGAAAAGCTGCTGTTCGCAATTGAAGAAACAGAAGGATTTGGGCAAGAATAGCTAAAATTTGCACCTTGAAGAATGTGAACTCAACACAATATATGTTCTTCACTTCTGCTTGTTGCACACTTCATTGTAAAGTAGACTTGACTTGGATTTATTTAACAATACTAATGTGTAAGTAAATGGATGTTATCCTGAGGTTTTATCCACGTTAACTCTGGATTTCTACTGAGCACTTTCAGAAATCAAATGAGCAATCAGATATGGCTACAAATTAATTATGACCTAAGTAGAGGTTTAATACAGCTTTGGGCTCTGCTTTGTTTTACCATTCATTAATTAGAATGTGTCCTTAATGACTGACAGATTTTTAACAGTAGTTTTGTCTTTCCTTTTTAGTAGCATTTTTTGCTACTGATGCACTGGGAAGTTCATTGGTAGCTGCAATGCTGCAGCAGCATCATAAGCCTCTTTACAGCAGTGTTATTAGAGCCAGCTTGTAACCATCCTCTGCCTACCGTCAGCAAATTAACTGCTTAAGCTCTTTTTTCTAACTCAAGTGTGGCCAGACTGTTTTTTCCCCGCCTGGAGTCTGCTCACATGCCAGCTGGACTCGGGCTGCTGTTAAGGGGATGTCAAACTGTGGCACAAATCCAGGGCATAGCTTTGCTTTGTTTTTTCCCCAATCCTGCTGATTTCAGCAAAATAGACACCTGCCCAAAGTTGTTGGAACATTTCTGCGTGCCCTCAGAAGAATTCTGATCTTTTCCTGTGTAACACATTTAACTTTTACATCAATATTAACACTGTGGTACTTCACTTGTTTTGCAAAAGACAAGACCACCTGGGATTGCACTGATTCCATTTAGATTCCTGTTTGCAGACTGATGTTTCTTGTCAAAAGTCTTAATGGACATTATTCTCAGTGTTATTCTTACATGTTGCAGTCAGTTTGCTCTGAAGACTTTATTGGGTTCTCAGGAAGAAGAACAAAACAACTGGATTCAGAAAATGATAATACTTATCATTTTTGCTAATGAACTGATACGTGATACTGGCTAAGGCTAAGAGGATTAGAAAGTTCAGACACGGATTACAGATTTTTGAAAAGCTGGAGCATCAGTAAATAGTTCTACAAAGATTGAAACTAAAGTTTTTTGGGGAGGTTTCTACGCTAATTCACCCTAAGCTGCTTATAGCTAGTAACTTTTGTAGTGAGTTCCTATTGGATTAATAACATCTTTTACTTCCTTTTAGGATCTGATAATATTCAATTCTCTTCTGGTTTACAATAACATTTTGCATTTTACTGCTCCTTTGGACTGAATGCACTTTTTGGGTATGGTCAGCTCTTTTCCTATCTGAAGGGAGGAAAGCAAACCTCAATGAGATGAGCTGTTAGCCATAGTAAGAGACATGACACATGAAATAGCATGTAGCACATATTAAAGCATAACCGCAGCTCAAAGCGTTGGGACAGGAGCTGTTTTTAAGAGGCTTCTAGATACTGGAGCTGAAACAGGACAGTGGGAAACTAAAACTGAACTTCCAGTGTTGAAAAGAATATTTCTTTCCTGCTGTCCCTTCTGTCTAAACTATAAGATGGAAAAACTGATTCAGGCCTAAGAAGAACTAAGACGCTACAGTTTTTAACTGACTTGGAGAGTTTTTCAGGTCATACAAAGTGATACATGCTTATTGGAAGGCAAAATGATTAGACTTTAGAGTGAATAGCTCTTTTGTTGTGCATATTCTAAGAAAGGCATGGAAAAGAGTTTCTGATGATATAGAAATGACCCTCTTTTACAGTTTGGGGAGAACTAACCTGACTTTATGGTTTTACCAGGAGGAAAATCTGCCAACTTCAAAACATTTGATGGATATATTACAATATACAGCTCATGAGGAGAAAAAAAGCCTTATAAATACTTTCTGTTTATATTAATTCTTACAATGAAATGTAGTTATCTAACATATTTACAAGAGAGATTAAATTAAGCAAGATAATGCAAGATTAAGCTATGAAAAATAGTCTGTGTTCTGCATAATGCTTTATGATTCATGTAGGGAACCTAGAAATATTGTTAATGTATAAATATCACCCAGAAGGCTTTCAGCCCTATATTTTTAAAATAAAGAATAGTTATAATTGAAATAGCCTTAGCCCTAGTTCTATAGGGTATGGCTGTTTAATATTTTTATGGTTGAAATGTTTAGTTCAGGAAAAAGGTAAATGCTTGTATATATTTTTGCAGTCTGGGATTCCACTTATTCCATTTTTCTTTCTTTAATTTAAATGGCATGTTTATATGTCTTTTCTGCTGTATTAGGATGGGGGAAAGGGGGCTGGATATCCCAAGCACCAGATATGATTTTAAACAGTACAGAAAAGGGGGGGGGGGGGGGGGGGGGGGAATCTGTGAAATGTTGGATTTGGCCAAAATATAAAATATTTAAAGCAACTTTACTGTGTTAAATTGGCAATATTTCTGAAGTCAGAGGTTAAGATTACTTAGGCATTTTACTCTGTCAGCATTGTGAATGCTAACAAATTTGTTAAATTTTTACAGCATGTTGTGTAGAAATAAAAAGGAATTAATATAAGCCACTGGTGCACCTTTCTGTTCTTTATGGGGATCTGGTGCAATCAACATGTGGATGAGCCCGCAGCATCTGGTATCCCAGATAATGAGTTGTTATGAATTGGACTTACAAGTAAGATTTTTCAGCAGAGATTAATTAATTTGTCTCCCACTACTTCAACTGATTTTGCAGGCTGAGCTGCACAAATTCATAATATGTCACAAATGTATATTCATATGCAACTGTCAATTGATCCTAATTTTCAAGTATTAAAATAACATTTATTTAGAATTTTGCCTTATGAAAATGACATGAGAATATTAAATGCTGAGCCGCTGATCTAAGAATTAACAAAGCCTTATTGTTCTGGGTAGCTCAGGAAATGTTAATATACTAATGAAATGCACAGTAAATGCGTCATGTCTTCATCTGATCTAGTAGGGAAGTTGTTTGGTTTTTTTTAATCCAGTTGCTTGTGTTTAAAAAATAAAAAAGCTTTTTTTATGATTCTGAGAGAAGTAAAACAACAAAAAAAATGCTTGTTTAATTTTTTTTTGTTTGCATTTTTATTACATGCTGCACTGGATTTGTAATCTCAACTCTCTCTGTTACATTGGTATCTCCAGCCCCCTTTTTGTGGTGTCTTTTAATTTTCTTCAAGAATCACTGTTTGTGTGTATGTGCTCTAGTGAACTCATATATAAACTGGGATCAGCAGCACTGGATTGTAAAATACTGTACTGAAATTCATTGTCGAAATTTCCTTGCATTGTAATTTGAAATACTCAGGTAACTGTAACAGTATCTCAGTAAGTCAAATACTTTTATAAAACTACTTAAAGAGCTGGTAGTCTCGTCGTTATTCCTTCTGTGTTATGAAGCATCCGTGTGCAAATAAATTGTCTGTCTGCTCTTTTGGGGATGAGGGGTTAGGCTGGCTGAAGCTGTCCTTCTAGCAAAGCTCTTTCGGAACGGTTCTTTCCTGAGACCTCCCCTGCCGTTGTTGACTGCATTGGAAATTCATTAGGAGATTTCAGACACAGCTGCCTTTGTGACTGGTTAGAAACTGCAGATAAAACAATTACTGAATTTTTAGTGCTTGTGGTCCTGGGGATGCTGCCCCAAGGAGACAGCGAGGCTGCTGGTCTGTTAGCGATGGTAGTCTCGAGGGAGATGGTCTGGAGAAAGGTTCTGCAGGAGCCACAGCTTTAACATTTTCTTGTACCACTGCTGCAGTGATAACAAAAATGAGGTATGACTGTACAAGTCTGTGTTTTCTTTTCTGTTTAGGAATGACAGGGTGACAGGAAGGAGGGGAAAAAAGCTCAAAGGAGACTGACCAGCCTTGTAGTTACCCTGATCCTCCTCCTTGAAGGGAGGAGTGGTATGTACATTCTTCCTGTCATCAGGAACCTCTCCTGATCGCCATGACCTTTCAAAGATAATTGAGATGGGCTTTGCAGTGACATTGGCCAGCTCCCTCAGCACTCATGGGTACATCCCATCAGGTCTCATCAACTTGTTTATGTCCAGTTTGTTGAAATGTTCCCTAAGCTGATCCTCCTCCACTGAGGGTAATCTTCCTTGCTGCAGACCTTCCCGCTGGGGTTTCGCTCTGCTGACTCTCCCAGATGTTCACACAGGCTTGGTTAATACAATTTTGTTAGTAAAATTAGCAGCAAATCCCAAGTATGCTTTTCTATGCCACGTAAATAGATGCAATAATTGCCTTTTTTCTGCAGTGGGGGAGGTTAGATTTGAGTTGCTTCCTCCATGCTTTGGATGAAATCACTTAAAAGCGTGCTATTAAGTTGTGTAAACCCAAAATTTGACACTGCTTTGGGTAGTTTTAAGTTAGTACAGCTATGAGGGTATTTCACATATATCTGAAGTTTAAAGAAAAAAAAAAAAGGCAAAACCCCCAAAATGGAATCACAATGCCAATGCATGATGAATGTATGGTATGATAAAGGTACACCTCAGTTGCACCATTGCGTTAGTTCCTTGCTGTTTTCTTCTGTGATGATGTTGCTAATGTCGGTACCAGCCCGGGGTGGGGGCTTTGATGGTTTTGTACATGGCAAGACGGGAGTGCTCGTTTAGTTTAAACAAAGCCTTGTTTGGTTTAAGTCTCTGATGGCAGCTGTGCGCTGCTTACCTAGTGACCAAATCTTGTCATCATTGGTGGGACTAGAGGTTGAATCGATCTACGGTAAAGTAACTTTCTGTAGCCAAGCTTTAAAACTTATTGCTGGACTGATAAGAGAGGTTAGAATTTAAATTAATTAGGTTGCAGAGGTGTTGATATCCTCCAAAAGAGAAGAAAGCCGTATCTCTTGGATCCTAAAGAAGGATTTGTTCCTGATCTCTGAAGATGCCTGATCCCATGTCCACTCCCAACCTGTCACCTCCACAGCAGCGCACAAATGGCAGGCTTTGTTGGACAGATCCTCTGTTTTCTCTGAGCAGAAAGTAGTCCCTGCCAGATTTGAAGGACCGGTGAGCTAATCTATGTCAAATCCTGGTTTTCAGAGTGTCTTGGGGAAAAAAAAAAGAAACATGACATCATGAAGTATTTTTCTACTTTTTACCCAACGACTGTCCGCTTTCAGGAACTGTTTTGAGGAGCAGCTGCGTGTTACCCGAGTGTCGGTGTCCTGCTTGCCGCGGTGCGATGCTGGAAGCAGCAGCATCCCGTTCCAGCAGAGAATGGATTCCGGCCGGGGGGGCACCAAATGCTGCGGTTACTGTGTACGTGTAATACGCGCTAGGGTTACGTCTGATACAGTTCTTGAGGGTGTTGTTTTGTTTTGGCCCCAGGACACCCCCGATCCTCTCCGAAGGCGGGCTGAGCTTCATCCTTCCCGTGCTCCCAGGGGCAGAAGGCACCCTTACCCCTCCGCCGTGAGTTCCCGGGGGGGGAGGGCAGCAGGTAGGTTCC